AATTAAATTTCAAATCAAATTGCAGAACTATGGTAGAAACTTAATGATCTGCGCTTTCTCAATAACAACTCTACATACTGTATTGAACACAAATTCGATAGAGTGATTTTGTTTGTTATATTTCATTGTACAAGTTTAGATCTATTTTAAATAGCGTAAGAATTATACTGTAAATATTTGAATTTCATTAGAAATACTTCTTCTAGCTCATTAGGTTTAATTAGTTTCCTTAGAATTTCATGAATACTGCAAATTGTTTTGAATTTGTTTTTGTTTATCAATAATCTAATTTTGTTTTCATGCATCTAATTTTAATTATAAAATAGTGGTAAATACAAAAAGAAATAGAATGTGTTGATGTATGCTGTTTTTTTTTGCATGACTGAATATCTGTTTTTTATCTACAAGAATGTTCTTGTTTCTTTTAAATGAAACAGAAGCAAAGATGATGATTTTATTTTACTTGATTGGAATCGGAGAATGCCATGAAAGACACGTATGACTTCGACATTTTCTCAGATGTAGTATGACATGAAACAAAAAGATTATTAAATAAAATAATATTTTTTGAGAACAGTTCTATGTGAATTATAATGATTTAAAATGCGCTTGTTGTTGATAATTATGTTATTATTCTTGATTAGACTGTATAGAAGAAAATTGATGAATTTTGATGTAATTGAAATGATTCCTAAAGTATTTGAATCTGCTATTTTCGATTAGATATGAATCAGTTAATATTTCATCGTTAGTAAATGAATATTAATCATAGGCTTTGTTGATAAAGAAAATAAATCGATATGAGATACTCTCAGAAACTAATTATTGTCAAACTTCAATAAAATTGATTTTAATTGTAACACTGAAAAAAGTCTTTCTAGCAAAACATAGAAAGAGCTGGTGGTACAAAGTATATGTAAATTATATGTAATGAAGAAAACATTTCGCACAAGTATGCTGAATCTTTTAAAATTGAACACAAAACTTGATGAATTTCAAATCGAGTTTTAATGATTTTGAACTGAATCTAATTTTTATCGATATTATTTATGAACATTGCTTCAAACATTCCTATATATAATAAATCATTAAATAGTTTACAAATAATAGCAAGAGCATCAAGTTTGTTTGCTGGTAAAATTCAACTCTTCGATTTAAATTAACAGCAGCATTATATTTAGATGCTTTTCCTAAATGTGAGCACCATCACCAAACTTTGTTTTTTGTTTGTTTTTGTTTGTTCTTTCAAGAGATTTCTTAGACACAATACGATCTTTATGTCAACAAAAATCAACATTAATAAACGTATTTATTGTCCTGCACTACATAGTACACGTCAAAAGTCTAGTACTACTTTTTTGTTTTGAATCATCTATCAACACTATCCAACATTTATTTTATTGGGTTATAGGCCTGTACAGTAGAGGCTCAATACTATCAATCTATCTATCTGTTTAATACGAAAAGCTTTTGAATATGAAGTACAATAAAAACAAACAAACGGCAATGGCAAGACAAAATGGCATAAGAACTACAAATATGATATTGTTGAGTTCCATGAGTGGTTAACCAAAAACCACTAGGTACTGAGAAAGTTTTCTTTTTATCAAACTTCCTAGAGCTTTTTTCGCTGATCATTTTGGCAACAAAACTTTTTCAATTCCATTGAGAAATGACGACGTTATAGTTAAAATACTAAATACGGTACAATAACTTAAAAATATGATTTTTTTCTGATAAATAAGCATAATAAGTCAATTCGTATAGTCAAACTAACATGACATCAATATTCTACTCTAACTTTGTATAATATCACTACTGACATAATGCGTTAATATTTAAGATGATGAAGGTTATGGTGGTTTGAGTATTGTTGGACAAATTAATAACATCTTAAACAATTAATAAATAAAACTTGGCAAAAATAATCTATAAAATGATCACTTATCTGAATATTGTTTTATGTTCAAATAAAGATTTTATTGTCTCTAATAAACAATAAATCATCTGATGATAATGCTCAGCATTAGGAACAGTATCGAACTATGACCTTGATTATAAATTTCTATTGAAGAATTAACCTTTAACTACAATAAAGTTTGATTTTCTGTCATTGAATAGTCATCTATGAGCATCTGCTCACGAGGAAAGGTTTAGAATTGATCAATCGCGTTTGAGTCGAGAATATTTGCGTCACGTAGTCCCTAATGAGCTATGAATACCCTGAAAAGAGTTCGGGCCAACAGCTTATCGATGCTGAGATACTGCATTTTTAAAGTAATTTAACAGGTTTTAACGAGAATAGTTTAGTGTGACAGTCTCAGATCTTTTGATTTGCTCTTATCCTGAAATACGAACATCGAATTTGCCAGTGTATATGAGCAATACGAAAGACAACTTCAACCATAGCCGTATCTTAGGACAAGAACAACGAAAAGATCTGAAACTGTTACAATAAAGTATTCTCGTTAAGGTCTGTCTATATGCAAAGGTTCAAGCCGACATTTCGAAAATCAGTTTTCCTAGTGTTTTTGAGAAACACCACGGTATTCTGTTAAAAAAGTATCTAACAATTACAGCATCTCGGCACCAATAAGCTGTTGATCCGAACTCTTTTCAGGGTATTCATAGCTCGTTAGGGATCACATGACGCACATACTCTCAATTCAAAAGCGATTGATCAATTCTAAGCTTGCTCTCGTTAGTTTAATACTTAGCAATTAAAACTGTTTAAAACGAAACTTATTGTATTAGATTGCATCGAAAAAATTATTTGTTCTGTTACTTTTGGCCCACCCTGTATATGATCTCTGCAAATTCTCAAATTTCCAGATCGATTGATGTCATAGCCGTAGCAAATTCATTTCTTAAACATAGACCAATAGAATTGGTATAGTTGAGATTGACAGCAATTCGAGTTGAAGGTTTTTCAGAAGAAAAAGTTATTTGTTATTTGTTATAATTAATAACAAATAACAAAAATTGTTATTGTTATTGTTATTGTTATTAATAACAACCGAATCATAATAACTTCTCACTCCTACATACAACCAAGATTATGTAATGAAAAATGTTTCGATTATATTCGGATTATTTTTCACTAGAACCAAGATTACAATCAATTTATGCGATTTTAAAAATTAAAAGCAGCTAAAAACCTTCGAAGTCGATTATAATTTTGATATTGTTGAATAATAATCCGAACATAATCGAAACATTTTTTAATCGGTATTAATAAGAAATAGAAAAATACATTCGTGCTTGAAGCAACTATAAGAGTATTGTCGTCGTGAAAAAAGTAATCGTATGACAAAATTTTCGTGTCGTAAAATAAGTTTTTGTTACAGCAAGCAGATAGTAAATAACAAGAGCGAACGAAAGAGAAATCGCAAGTACAATCGGGTTTAATCATCACAGCGCTCTATATGTCTCTTACTGTATTTACATAGCAGAATGGAGGCATTAACTTTCTTCGTATAGTTTTTTTTTTATTTTCATCATGCGTTGGTGTTCATTTTTGACGATTATTATTATTATTTCATGGATAACGGTACTAATTTTTGTTGTTACACATATTAATCAAAAGTCAGTTTTTCAAGTTCAAAACACTAGCTTATCAAAACTATCGACATTAGTAAATCGAAATAATGAACGTCTAGCTAAATTATATAAAAAATATAATTTATTATTAAATTTAACAGCATTTAAAACAAATCATTTATCAACGAAAACAATAATTTATTCTTGTGCATCATTTTGTGGTGGTTGGGGTGATCGATTACGGGGTATTACATCTGTTTACATTCTTTCTTTATTAACGAATCGTCGTTTTATGATTGATATGAATTATCCTTGTGATATTTTGAAAGTAGTTCAACCTAATTTTGTGAACTGGACATATGTTAAGCACGATAAATCGAAAAATCGGACTCGTTTATTTATTAATACGGTGCCTTCATGGCAAAGAGCATATCGAAATAACATATCAAATTTGATTAAATCGAACGATTTTGTTGAAGCTTGGTCATCATATGATGATATAGTAATAAGAGCTAATAGCGACTATATGACACTAGCACTTCACAATACTTATATGTTAAATAAAACTCGACAACTACTCGGTCAAATTCCTGTATCGCAAGCTACAATGCGATCATTATTCGCCCTTCTTTTCGAACTTCTTTTCAAACCTTCTGTTGCTGTTCGCAATCGAGTTGATTCTATATTGATAAACTTTCATAATCGACATCTTATTTGTTTGCATATTCGTATTGGTAAAAATCCAGCAAATCCATTTGATCATGCGTTTACAGCTCGAGTGAATACAACAAAAGCAATGATAGATTTTGTTGATAATTATTTATTAAACAAATCTTCATCGCTTGTTTTTGTGACATCTGATAGTAGTCAAGCTGTATCAGATATTTTACGTCATTATCCAAGTTCATCAATGACGATTACTGGTCCTATTTTACATATTGATCGATTTGATCGGCAATCACCAACGATATGTGAGGGATTTATTAAAGTTATTGCCGATTTTTATCTTTTAGGCGAATGTCAAACATCGCTTTTATCAAATAGTGGATTTTCATTATGGGCTAATCAACGAAGAGAAAATCCAAATGAAGAATTATATCTTTATAATGAAAATTTAGGACAAATGAGAAAAGTTACTTAATTAAAATTGTATTATATGAAAAAACAAAGGCTAATAAAATTTCATCACAAGATTGTTTCGATATCATCTGTAGGATTATAAAGCGAAGCGTCGATGTGTTTAGAAAACAAAATCATTTGTCTTGTCGATAAAGTATCATGGAAAAATTAACTTCGGTAAGATCATATACAGCGTGCCTCAATTGATTTTCCCCTGTTGATATTTTTTTTGTTTTTATTGTTATACCTCTTTTATTTATTAACCTATTATATATAGAAAGAAAGCCCGGAACGCGCTGCATCTTTTGGTATATTTACATTAAACATCAAATATAATTTAAAGTGCAAGAGATGTATTAGAAAAAAAGTGACATTTTTTTTACTACAATACCTGGTGTCCAAAATGTTGTAACAGTTTTTATTTCACGTATATCTCGGCTTTGGTAAATGATAATATTTTGAATTTTTTTCCAGAAGATGTGCCGTAAAAGTTTCTACACTAGCTGTACGATCAAATTCCTTTTTGCCTGTTCTGATGGTTTTTCTTATACTCAAAATGAACAACTTACACGGCAGTATCACTTCCCATCATATAGAAAATATTTTGAGGACTTTTCTGATTCGCTATAGGATTTGGTCTATACGTGTTTTGTAGAGCTTTCAGCGGCACATCTTTCAAAAACAAATTCAATATTCCATCATTTTCTCAAGTCAAGATATACACAAAATAAAAAGTCTTCCAAACATTTTCAATATGATGGATAGTGGTACTGTCATATGGGTTTTTCATTTTGAGTATAAGAAAAACCATCAGAACGGGCAAAAAGGAATTTGATCAGACAGCTTTTGTAGAGCTTTTCACAGCGCATCTTCTGGAAAAAAATTCAAAATATTTTCATTTACCAAAGCCGAGATATATGCGAAATAAAGAATGTTACCATATTGTGGACACCCTGTAGTAAAAAAAATGCCACTTTTTTTTCTAATACATTTTTTAGACTTTAAGTTGCATTTGATGTTAAATGTAAATATGCCAAAAGATGCAACGCGTTCCGGGCTTTCTTCCTATATATGATAGGTTAATAAATAAAAGAAGTATAGCAATAAAAACAAAAAAATATCAAGAGGGGAAAATCAATTGAGGCGCACTGTAGATAATGCTTAAAATTCTACATTTTTATTTATTTGACAAAAAAGACAAAAATCATTTTCAAACAAATTTGATTGATCTATTGCACCATTCGTTGGCAAAATAATATGTCGATTGTATTATATTGTTCGATTTTCATATCAAATTGAATATTAGTTTGACCATTTAGATTTGTTTCTCTAATTTATATTAATCAGCGTCTTATTCTCATATCCACACACACACACAACGGCCCCTGGGAAAAAAACACTATTCTTGACTTTTTGCAGGAATGCTTTAACCCTTTCGTTACATAATTTTTTTTTCTGCATTGAAATCGAGT